TCTTCTGTATATGCAGACTGTATCCAGTGCTCACCCGAACACTCTGCACGTATTTGCTCTGCAGCTGCTCGAGTCCCTCTGTGGAGATTAGAGGCCTCAGCTCTTCTCTCTCCATCTCCGTCACCAGCTCAGGATGACCCATCATGTCCGGGCTGCCAAAACAAGACTGCCACGTTCAGATTTTAGTGGCTTTAATAGTCATTGTAATGAAGTATTAATGAACTCGCGGCTTCTTGTGACATTAATGGCTGAACGTGGGTTTGCAGAGTTCAGCCAAAGGGTGGCGTTTCATGCTAATAAAAGTCCATAACTTCACAGTAATAACAAAACAGAGATTTGAAAGAAAAGTTTTGTATCTCTTGTTTCTTCTTTCTTCCAATCTTGTGATTAGCTCAAGATTAAAATCTTCCAAACTGCTGCTTAGAAATATCCTGCAAAACTCTAAAAAACTTTATGGTAACAGAGAAAGGATAAAATACAGATTCTGATCACGAGCCTCACCTGTTGTAGATGTGCAGCACCCAGTTGAGCACAGCGAAGATTTCACCGCTCTCCAGGTCCCAGCTGCTAACCTAGGCCACAAATATCACTTACATGTAGACAGTGATGGTGGTCGGTGTTTAAAAAAACACTGACCTGGACAGAAGAAGACAGATCTGTAGTATTCATGATGAGGTGGCATTGTTCATTTCACCGACCTGTGTCAGGTGGGCATGTAAACAGCGGTGGCTGGCCCTCAAGTAGGCTCCAGTCAGCTTGTATTGTTGCGGGACGCAGTGCTCCAGCAGGTGGCGTACGGTGGCCAGGTCGGCCATGATGCCGTGCTGCAGTGCAGAGAGGTGACCTGCCAGACCCGGACCACGTGTGTGCAGATAGGAAACACTGCGAAACCGCGCCGCCACCGCCTCCTCTAGTACCTGGGAGAACGGAGTATGAGTGAACTGAGACATACATCTGTATATTCAAAAGCAGAAACTTGGTAACAGTGTTTGTATCAGGTGCCGCTGACCTTGAAGAAGCACGCTCTCCAGCAGCGAGGTCGTCCAGCGGGTAGGGGCCTGCTGTTGCCTCCGCCGCCTCCCCTCTCCTCCAGCAGAGTTTGGTCCAGCGCCTCCTCCCGCTCCACAATCCTGACAGCGGATACAAACGGCGTGGGGTTTTGTCGGGCCAGAGCCAGAGCACTGCTCACCACCGCCCACAGCTCCTTCCCTGCAGCGCCAGGATGAATGTGGAGTATGAAGATATCAGGTTTCAACCAGCAGACTTTGTGCTTTCATCATCAGGACCACAGAAGCTGGGATTAAAGATTTTATTAAAGCTGCTAATACCCAATGGCACTCTTTCCATGACACTGCTTTTTCTACACGCTTCTTTGATGTATTCTTGCTTTAGAAAAGTCAACTGTAAAGCTTATCACATATTCTGGGTGCATATTAAATATCGCTGAATGTTATCATTTGTTTTCTTTTATCAATAAAGATTTTTTTTAAGGTTTCTTTCCAGAACAAAACTGGTTGCTACAGCTGTAAATGCCTGAAGGTCAGTTATTTAAAACCATGTCTCAACAACTTTAAGCAACTTATATGAATGAATGGTCTTTTTTTTTTTTACAGAAACATGTAAATCTGATTAACAGTGATGTGTTGTTAGGCTGCTAGGAGAGGAACTTTAACAAAAAATGATGGTTAAGCTTGAACAGATTTTCCCGTATCTTAATGAGTTCCTCACCCAGTGCATCAACCAGGTGCCGGACTCCAGAGAAATATTTGGCCACCACTTCCTGGTCTTCAGTGCTGAGTGCACCTCCTGCGGCCTTGTTGAGCTGCCATAGAATATCATCCTGCAAGTACTCCAGATCCATCAGCTTGGCATGGGCCTCTAACAGCCGCCGGGACTCCACCAGGCGCTCTGTCTCCATCACCATGCTACGCACTGGGCAATAGAGAGTATGTGGAGGTGGTTTACATGGAACTATAAGAATTACCAAAAGAATTATTAAACATGAAAAAGTTTACACTGCGCTATACACAGTTTTTTATAGTTTCTGTATGAAGTCATTATGAGTGGATATCCCGTAATGCGGTCATCATAGCTGACGGTGACATCAGAAGCCCCACCCACCTGCCATTTAAACATGGCTGCAAAGGGCAGCCAATCAGAACACCTCTTTTAGGCATGCAGCCATACCTCTGAATATCAGGCAGAAAAATAAGGGGATTTTCCAACCAGCAATAGCGTAAATGTCATATTCAGATGCTTGTCAGTGACTCGGCTGCTTTGGTCAAACACAAAACTGTCTTCATGGAGACAAAATCAGCAACATGTGGTAGTTAAAATTAAACACTAGAACTCAATGCAGCACATTCACAGACAAGAACCTTGTTACTTAGCAGATCTAAATAAATGCTTTCCGAACATTATGCCGTTCATTACGGGGCACATGTATTAGATTGCATTATCACAGCATGTGCACACTTTTAAAGCTTTTAAGGCCTCAGCATGGAAAACTCAGTATCCTTAAAATACACATTAGAGCAGTGGGACACCTTTTTTATATGTTTTCAAATCATAAACACACAGAAACAAACAAAGTCACAGTAAATTTGCCAAAATGCATCAATGTAAATGTTTTATGGTGTTAGTGTCAGCTTTCAAATAGTTTTCCTGAAATCCTGTTCCAGCATAAAACTGTGTAAAATGATGTCATCTCTAGATTTAAAGTCCTTTCATGTCAAATTAAAACCAGCTATAATAATCTGCTCATCATATAACAGGATTAAGGCAAATGTATGCATGTATGTATGCAAAGCGTGATGACAGGGACATCTACGTTAGTCACTTTCGTCATGGGATCCTGCTTTCATCCACACAGCTGCTTCTCACCGGAGTAAAGTTGTGGCAGGTTGCTAACGGCAGCGAGGAGCTGACTGTGGTTTGCAGACACCTCTCTCAGTCTCTCCAGAGATCTTCCCCCCTCTGTGTTTTGATCAGACTCCAGTCCAGCTTTCTTCAAATCACTTGACACTTCCCTCAGCTCAGTCCGGGCCTCGCGGAGCTGCTCCAGACCCCAGCCCACTCCCTCCAGGTACGACTGGACCATGGACTGGAAAGAAAGGGATTGCAGTGTTGATGTTAGGTCTATTTACAAAAAACGGAAAAACGGCAAAACTTTTCCTCAGTCCTTCCACCTCCCTACATGCCATCTTTCTTCTGATCGGACTAAAAACCCTCCTGAAGGTTTTCGTGATTTTTGGTCAGCAGTGGTTTTCTCCTTGGAACTTTTCTATGGATGCCATTTTTTTCCCTCGTCTCTTACTGAAGAATCATGAACTCTGACCTCTACCGAGACAAGTGAGGCCTGCAGGTCTTTGATGTTGTTCTGGGTTCTTTTGTTACCTCGTGGATGAGTCATCGACGAGCTTTTAGGGTAATTATCAACACCACTGTTCCAAGTGGTGTTGATAATGATTCAGTGGAGTCCCAAAGTCTTAGAAATATCTTTCTTTTCCAGACTAATAGACATCAGTGACTTTGTTTCTCACTTGTCTCTTTAGATTGCAGAATGATGTGTTGTTCATTGAAATCTCAAGTGATTTCTTGAGTCGACAGGTTTGGTGGTAATCAGTCCAGGGTGTGGCAACGGAACTTGAACTCAGCTTTCCAAGATAAAAAATCAAAGTTAATTCATGATTTAAGAAGAGGGACAGGTAGCATTGGATAGCTTTTTTCACCTCAGTAAATAAAATCATTACTTTAAAAACACATTTTCTGTTGAACTGGGTTATAACTATAATTACAACTTATTTGATGACCTGAAACATTTAAGTGTGACGAATAAGAAAAAAAGAAAGAAATCAAGAAGGGGGCAAATATTTTTTGCAGCATTGTATGCAACAGAAAATAAGGAAGAGTAAATTAGGTTTCTTTTATGTGCCTTATTGGGATCATTTAAACTGCTTTAAACTACTGCTCCATTATTGTGCATTGATGCGTACTTGTGGACTGTGTTGTCACCTTCAGTCTGGTGTGAACGGACGCTGTCCTCTGACTTTCTCTCTTCCTGTATTGACTGAGTCGCTCCAGATGTTCAGGCCGACAGAAAACACCCGACGCCCACTTCAGGGCAGCGCCGCGGGCCAAACACTCTGCCCTCTCCACCTCAGGCCACACCTCAGGCTGTGGCACCATGTCTGAGAGACAAAGAGAAAAAATATCAGGCAGGGAGATATAGTGAAGCGACTCGCCCATAAAGAGGCAGGCCTGCCCTTAAGCATACTCTGTTTTATTGTCTTTTCAA